TTTTTTTTATTGTAAGAAATAGATATTTCAAACGATATACACTACACTTTGGGATCCGTAAGACTTAATTTTTTTCAAAGAAATTAATGTTTATTCAGCAATGTATCAAAAGTGACAGAAAAGACTTGTACAGTGTTACAAACATTTCTATTTCAAATAAATGCTCTTTTGAACTTTCATATGTTCAAACTTAGAAACATTCATTTGTTAAAAAAAATGTATCATGGTTTCCACAAAAAATAAGCAGCATAAACTATCAGCAGCCATTATTACAGTTTTTCAGCATCACATAATCCTTCAGAAATCATTCTGATATGCTATTTTGGTGCTCACGAAACATTTCTTATTATTATCAATCAGTTGTGCTGACTAATATTTTTGTGTAAAATACATTTTTTTCTGGATTTTTCGATAATAGAAAGCTTTTAATGAACAGCATTTCATTCCATTGAAATATAAATGTCTTTACTGTCACTTTTGATTAATGTGCCCCCAAACTTTTAAATGGTAGATAGCTTACTATATACAGATAGATTTACCAACTTTATCTGTTTATATATCGCTTTGAGTACATGTATGCAGATACATTTAGTAGTTGTCAAATGTAGTTAGTCACTTGTTTTGCAAACTGCAAGGATTAAAATGCATAACAGGATTTACAATTTCAGTAATACCACACAACCTAAGCAGTTTAACTGAAAAGTTAATTGAAAGCCATGCCATAATACTTTTATCAGTAGAGCCCTCGTGTGCAAGCCAAAGCCAAGTAAGGTATATCATTTCTTAAAACTCATCTCCATTACATTTACAATTATGAAACAATAATCTAGAATCATACAACCAGAAACATCCAAACTGACATTCACTTACCCATAAATTCACCCCTGTATGTTCTATAAGCTACCAAACTGCCGATCAACTCTGCTTGCTCCAAAGGCCGATGCATGTAAGAGCTCACACATGCATGTTTATGTGCTAGACAGGGCTGGATTAGCTCGAGCTGCTTCTCTGAGGTATAATCTTTAAGTGGTTTGTCTCTGGTCGTGCATTCATTTAAATACATACGGAAATAGGCTAACACACGGTTTCAGCGTTAGATCCACTTATATTTTTCTGATGTCTGAGGTAGTTTTCTAGCTATGTCATCTGAAGTTCTGCCTTTCGGCTTCAAAACAGCTGTTATTTTAGATAAACCTGTCAGTGTTGGATCCATACAAACTATATGTATGCAGGTGCATATACAATGGTGACCATCCCTATGATTTGTGTTTGTTTAAGAGGCTCTGGCTCTAGCTGGCATTCAAAAGCTAACTATAGACACAGGTGCATTATGGGATAATGAGCTGATGGGATTCACCTGGTCACAAACTACTTCTCACACAGAATATTTTGCTGGTCCAGATACAAGGAGGCCTCTTTAAATTAAAGTTAATGGAGCAGATGCCTCACTCAGTGTGTTGAGTTAACTCTTTCTGTAGTCATCATATAATAAACAATCAGACTCTATGATGATCAATACTACCAACAAAACCAATAATCTTTATAATCTTGAATTTTATAATCACCTGCAAAATGCTGAGGTGCCATATGACAAACTAATGCAGAATTTATGTATTAATATCTTTGCATCAATCACAGTACAAACCAATAAGCATGTCGGGAGCAATGTTGACACAATATAAACAGAGCCACAACACTGAACCTATTGAGACACTCGAAAAGCATACATATTCAGAGCAGGTTAACAGCCACTTTACATAATCTGCTCATTTGCTTTACATATACACTGGCCACTGTACGCATCTGCAACAGCATCAGATACACACACACCTGATCAAAGTTATAAAATACACCTCAAACACAAAAAAATCAAGCAACAATGACATTGACTGACAGAGAGACAGATGACACATTGTATAAGACCTACAATAAAAACACAATGATATATTTTTACACTGTGTAAACATTCACACTACGAGATGGAAAAACGTGATTTAATAACACTTAATAAAGGTCTCTTCCACCATACCTTTTTACAAAAGGGCAGTTCAGAAATATTTTTGGGGCACTCTAGTGTACATTACCAGTCAAAAGTTTTGAAACGCTACGCTTGTTTAATGTTTTTGTCTCTTATGCTCACAAAGGCTACATTTATTTGATCCAAAATACAGAAAAAACAGTAATACAGTGAAATAGTATAAGAACTGTTTTCTATTTTTAATGTATTTTATTGCTGTCATGGCAAAGCTGAATTTTCAGCAGCCATTACTTCAAGTCTTCAAAATTCAGGCTTAATATTTGTGAAAATCGTTATACATTTTTTCAGTATTCTTCAATGAACAGAATGTTAAAAAGAACCTCATTTATTTGAAATGGACATTACATAAATGTCTTTACTGTTACTTTTGATCAATTTAATGCATCCTTGCTGAATAAAAGTGACACTGAATACTGAAGTAATGGCTGTAAAAAAAAATGCTTTGTCTTCACAGGAATTATTTACATTAAAATACAGTAAATTAAAATAAAGTGTCACAATATTACTGTTTTAACCAATAATCAAATTTATCATAACTGGTAGATAGAATTTTGTCGATGTCTCGAACTATGTGGAATCTAGTTTTAAAGAGAAAAGGTCAGGACAGGGCGCCAGGGACCCATCATGGTGCCAAGAGAATGTGCTTATGTATGTGTGTTAGTGAGTGATCACAGGTGACATCTCCAGCAGAGAGCACAGTGGATTAGACGCCCGCTAGAGAGAGAAAGAGCAGCTAATTCACAGAAATGGAACACGTGAAATGCACATCACACGTAACAGTACACCTACAACACATGGAAGGTCTAAGAGTCTCCATACTAAGTAAAACCATATTAGAAAGAAAGTAATAACTAACGTGTTTGCTCAGTCTTCAGTTCTTGGTATAGTGATAATGCTTTCAAGAATTCAGATCGCTGCATCTTTATTACAGTGCCTGTGAGGCATAATAAGGCATCACGGTTACTTTAGCTCATGTTTAGGGTTAAGGAGTTGCATAAACCTCTAACCTTAAGCAGTAAAGTTCAGCACATTCCTCATCCTACACCATGTGCTACTGACATGAATGATAGACGAAAACTGATGAGTGCTGTGGAGAGGTGTACTAATACTTTTTCAGGATTTCTGCCTGTCGGTGGGTTAAAACAAATCTTAGTCTTATGACTCAGGTCCGTACTTAAATAGGTATATCTAGGGGCCAGAATTTCATAGAGACTTGCTCTTTTGACTTAGGATCAGTAAGCAGGCACATAGAAACCACACAGAATGCCATATCAACTTGAATGCAATGGCATAAAAACCATAACACCTTAGTACAAAATAACAACAACACACTAGACCTGTGATGGCAACTTTTGCACAGGAAGATAATTGTGGTTTGCTATTGCTGTGATCTAATGTAAGTATAGTTTGTCCTGCCCTCACGCCAGTAAACACATCATCAGAGAAGAGTTGTTGCAAGTTATTTTGATTACAGAATACGAGGGCACATGAATTTAAAAAAATATATATACTGTGTGTGCGCTGATAAATCATTTATAATAAATACTGCAATGTTCCAATTTTCCTAATCTTTTCATTCCAAATTAAAATTCCAATTCAACTTCCTGTGGGGCACGGTCAATTTAAAGCCAAAATCATTATTGAAAGGGTGCCAATTCTTAAATTCAGGATATCGTGCAATTTTAGGCATGGTATTTCATTCAAGACATGTACATCTTTTATGTATTATATTTATATTTTAATATGTCCTTCATATCAGCCAAATGATCCAAAGGCACATTTCTAAACTCAGTAATTTCAAGTTGAATTTTTACATTCACGCAGAAAACTGCGTTCTTTCATTGGCATGAAAACTGATGTGTTCAAATGTTTTTACAGTATCATCCATTCATGAATATGTTGGTTATTGGTTCAGAGTACAGCAAAGCAATGTCCAACACACGCACACCACCAACACACAAGGGTTCAAGTCAATAGGACAAGAGCATGTTATTAAGTACATCTGATGGCGAAAGACCGCTGGGTGACCACGTTTACTCAAGATACAAAGAAATTTGCATAGGACTGTTCAACTAGTGCACTCTCTAGGCCATCCAACAATATATTCTGATGTATGCAACAAATCTGTCCAAAAAGTGTTAATTCAATGGCTAAATTATTTCTGGATAATGCAGTCAAAACATACTGAAGATAGCTTTAGCCAAACATTTACACACAACCAATGAGTTTGCTTTACTTTTTCATGCTGTTTAGGGGGCAAGTTTATCTAAAATAGATAATTGAACAGCAGTGTCAGTCATAATTAGGTGTGCAGAAAACAAAAATATTTCTGTACATATAAAATGTATAGGTTATTTGACAGATATAACATACAATTCTGCTTGTGGACTAAGTGAACTACTAAGTGTCTAAAACAATTCTGAATATATTACAGATTTGATGCCACAATCCTGAAAATATTTGGCAAATCTAGTGTCTCAAAAGGATTGGAGCTGGTGATGTCAATGACTTTGAATAGACTGAAATATATGTAATGCTTTGTTTTACATCTTACATCTATTTATAGCAGCAATTTATTTTCCAATACAACAGCGTCCAGCTCCTGCTCTAGGCTATATTTCTGTTTACATAAGATTGAGTCTTTTTGTTATCCTCACATTGCTTTTGGCATTTAAATCTCACAGACTAACCCTTAATGCAAACTAAGTATCATAAATCTTATTACAGAACAATACTCTCAACTTACAACTTGACCCCAATCTAAACAGTAACCCTAATGAAAATGTACCATTGCTCCACAGAATCCATTAAAATACCAACTAGTAATTTCAGACTATAGTAACCACATGGAAAACCATGGATGGCTATACCGGCTTCAACATAACTAATTCCTATGAAACAAACTATGTTATTTGTTATAAAAACTCCACATACATTACATATTCACATAATGGGTACTTGCCTCATTCTCTTTACTCTTGTCTCTATTCCGGCCGGAGCTGTTGCCGTTCTCCTTAGTGATGGGTACAACCGATATCTGATGCACAGGCATGCTAGCAGTGCTCAGGACTGCGGGATACCTCACTACCTTCAGCCCACCAAAGACAACCGACTCACATCATCCTGTGGGTCGGCATGGAAACAAAGAATATGACCCGCTCCAGAGCTCGTATCCACGCTCCTACAGACACATGCATGAAATCAGGTATCCTGGTTGAGATCTCAGACTTCAGCTGCAACAGAGGGAAACATCCAGAGAGCTGGTCGTCACATCCCCAAAAAAAGCTTAAGCCAACCTCTCTCGTTCTACCTGTGTGATTTGTGACAGGGAGAGAGAGAGAGAGAGACAGACAGACAGAAAAAGCTCATTTCAATTTTACTCTACCTGAGAACTGCAGTGATGCTTCAGTTTGTGTGTGTGTGCGTCTGTTAACCTGACCTGTAAACATGCTGCTGAGAGGACTTAGGAGTTATTTTAGCTCCAAATCTCCTCCCTCCAGGAGCAGCGTGGGATGGAGCAGCAAGCTAATCAGCTTACAACCCCAGGGGCTTCACACACAACCACGGCTACTGTAACACACAAACACACACGCTCACACGAACATGGGAAGACACACTGGACCGAGCAAACTAGCTGGTAACATTTGAACTGTTAAATGTTTAATTTAAAACAAACAGTTGAGGAGAGCTTATATAGACTCATTATGCAGCAAAACTAAATTATACTGGAAGGACTAGTTATGAAACAGACAACCAATAATAAATGAAATATTGTCCTCAGCCTCGTTAAATATTCATTAGCTGCAGAAACTCGTCATTTTGGGCACCTACTCCTTTTACTTAAAATGTTCTACATTTTAGAATTTAGAAGTTATTATTCCTATAGACTAGCTATGGGAATTGTGTAGAGGTCAAAACCATTTTGACAGACCAAAAAGACTTTAGGCATTTTACTTATGCAAATGAGAATATTAACTTTTGCTTTACAAATGTACAATGTGAAATCTCAGAACCGGACTATGACTGATCATTACTAACCCAAAGCACAAACAGTGAAACATAAACAAATAACCCATGATTATGCTAACCCAGGGTAAAAAAACGGACCAAATTTTCAAGCTAAAAAGCCCATGTGATTAATTGAACCTGGTTATAAAATTGTTAGTACACACTACTCACATTCAGAAGACGAAATGCTGTGAGATACTTTATTAAATAACGCCACTCGTTTGAATGTCACAGAAACCTAAAATTTCACCAAGAAAACAACATTAAATGACTCAAAGGTCTACTATGATTACAAAAAAAAAGGGAAAACATTTTTTTAGGATGTGGGACTATTTTCATGCATTTCACATTGGAGGGAGCCATTTCTCTTTTGCTCATATAAGCAAACCCTTTCTCTCCTCTTGGAGTGAAGTATTGTTGTCATTTACTATCTTTCTCTTCAGGCCCTCAAGGTTGTTCGCTTATGTCTGATTGATTTGTTACATTGATTGACCTCAGGAGGCCCTTAAAAACAAGATTCATTCCTATTGGTTCCCCTTTACATCAGTAGGCTATTTTCCCTCATAAACGGTAATATAACAAAGCTTATAAGCAAGCCTTATAGTTATATGCTTGACATGACATAGCTGTCAAACTTTCATTCAGTTTGGTTTACATTTTCAAGGACTTTTAGTTTACATCCTGTTTCCTTTGTCCTTAGTTTCCCGCCACCATTATTTTCCATGTTTATTCATTAATAAGTTCACCTGTTTGTATTCAGATTGTTTTCTTCTAAAGTCAAAACACTCCCTCACCTTGCTCGTCTTCTGAGTGGACATTTCTCTGAGCCCTACGTGTGACAAGGCGTGCAAAGTCAGAGCTCTGAGGTAAAAATAAAATGATTTTGTTTTCTGCAGATATAAAATGCATTATACAGTAACATTAACATGACAGTACTTTGATCGTTGCCTTTGTAAAAATATTAAGAAAAACATAAATGTGCAAAAAAGAGTTCATGTAAACGACTAATTGCAATGTCGACTAGTCTCGCACATCCCTATTTGATGTCGAATACACATGCACTGCATTGATTGTTTGGTGAGATAAAAAAAGGAAAAATGAAAGAGAAAAAAAACATTAAATAATCCATAAAAGACTGTTTTATTCAAAAGGAGTCAATTGCATGTGAATTCTGTGAAAGAGATAATCATTTTATTAATTATTAAAAAACATCCAAAATTGTATTGAATAAATCTTTTAAAAATAAATCTCTAATTGTTTGTTTGTTTTGCACAACATACTTATTATTATTATAGGCCTACAATAATATCCTGAAAAAAAAGAGAAGCCAGATCCATTCACAGACTATTTTCAAGTTCTAAATAAGGGGTGTTCACTCTTTCTCCTGGGAACTCAGAAGAGTCAAGGTCTTCAAGTTCAATTGAAAGTTACAGGCAGGTGTGAGAGCAAGGACTGTGCACCCCTGTGTAGATAATAGTGTATGTGTGCTATAACTTTATAAACCTCTAGTAGAACAAGGACTCTTAATCACTTATCAGGCATCTGAAGGTATTTACCAACACAAAAGCTCATATGTAAAACAAGACAAGACGTTCATCCAAAATAAACAAACCCCAAATACTTCAAAAAAAAAAATGTAATAAATATTTAATAAATAATCAAGATGAGAGTGAGATAAGATTTGGAACATGCATATACCGCAATCATTTATGAAAAGTGGGCACATGAAGACTAGCAGCATAAACCAGCATTGACCAACAAGATATTTTGTATTCTCATTTCTCACCAAGGAAATATTTGGTCAAAAAGTATATTTATGGGAGACAAGACTTGACTACGTTGTTTGTACAGCAGAACAATAAAAAGGTGATTAAATGTTTGGTTTTGTTAAATTATACATGCTCCATTAAATAAAGTGATTGCTAAATTACTAGTCAATAAAGAACAAAAGCCCATACATTCATTCATTCATCCACCCATGAATGATTCATTCATTCATTCAAAATATGCACTGACATACAAACATAGGCACAGCAGGACAGTCAGGCTGGGATTTCATGACAGAGTTTAACCCCTACTTTCATTTGTATCTGGTATCTAGGGTAGAACCGTAGTTAGTTAATCTCACCATGCAATATGAGCCACTCATTGTGGTTACCCCCTCATCATATTACAGTATCGACTGTATACAAACAGGTGCACACGCACAACCTAATAAAAAAAACAATGTACAGAGACTTCAAAGTGGATGCCTTTATGTGCGGCAGTCCATGTAAGTAAGGAGTTTTATAACTAAATATGTGTGTTTTGCATCCCTGGTCATGTGTTGTCGTAATCCAAACATTTGTACAAGTGCTGGAGCGTTTTGATTGTAGTGTTGCTAATTTAGATTTGTGCAGTTTGAGCTCAGATGAACAAGATGATGTCAGTGGAGTTATTTTGATACTGTACCAGTATTGCTATAGTATTTCTGCCACAGTGGTGCTGAGGTATCAGTGATGCCCTGATTTTGCAATGAGTTTGTGTTTGCTCGTTCAGCCGGAGCAGATGGCCTCTCCCTTCACTGAGATGGAGTTTTACACTATTCTCTTCTCTCTGGTAGTGTTCAGTCTCTTTACCCTGCATGGCCTAATACAAGAGAGATGTGTGCACACTACAGGTATGACCAACACACATAAACAATGCTATTACACATGGTTCATTAATCCTAATGTGGTGTTAAAAAACTGGGTACAACTTTTGTGTTGTGGGTCAAACAGACCTGCATTGGTTTCCATGCAATTAGCCAAAAATATAAAAATTATATTCGAATTTAAAGCTGCAGTCCGTAGTTTTTCCTCTTTGTCGCCGTCTCTGTTCGAAATCTGCAATTGCAGTTATTCGCGGAATTATCAACTTTACGTGGGTTGTGCCCCGGCACTGCGCGGATGAATCCAATGTTTTGAGGAGAATGTGTAGCTGTCAGTCACCGCGCCGGTGTCGATACTGTCATTCAGAATCACAGACTCTACTTTTTGGAAGTATGACCAACATAAGAATTTTCACCGGAAAATGTCATCTGAACAAGTAAGTAACATCCACTTTTGTTCTGACCAACTAAAGGAAAAAAAGCATTGCAGTAAATCGCGCTGATTAAATCTAACGATCACTTATCATATCACGTCAAACCGTGCAAATTATACTTTGTTCTCAAATTGTTAATGTTAACAACATCAGCATTGCGTGAATACATTAAATGCCCTTCAGATATTTGTTTTCGCATGGTCCGGTTGCAGTCTCTTTTTTTCGGTAGCCACTCCAAAGTCCAAAGTCTTTTGCATTTTACAACGGGTGAATCTCCAGTTGTCGCTGGTAATTGTCGTTTGAACCTTTCTGGATCCGCCAAGTTTAATTATAACAAGTGCTGTGAGAAAAGGCTATAAATCTCCACCTCCAACATCCTCATCCGCAATATAACTTAAACTAGCCGAGACTCCTTCTTTATGTGTACAAATGTGACGTTATGACGAAAAGACATGCTCCAATTTCCCGCGGAAATCCACCAGAACCACCGGAATTAGAAAACATTATTACAAGCTTACCGTTTTGAATCGAGCTACGGCAAGCTAGATAGTTTTGAACACTGGCTGGTTATGTACTTGCTCAAAAAATTATTTTGGATAATTTTTAACCCAAAAAAGTTACGGACTGCAGCTTTAAATGGCATAATTTCAGTTAGGGGAAAAAAAAGCTTTTGGCTTGTCTCCTGGAGCCACAAGAGGGCGCAATGAGCAAAATAATAATGCACCGCATTACATTTTTATTCAAGGCAATGAAATAACATGACTGTCTGTAAAAAGTGATTTATAACTTTTATAAATCAAATATAAATTGCGTAAAACATTTATAAACCATCATCTATTAATGCATTTGTTTAATACAAAGAGCCGAAGCACCAATCACGCAGAGTACTTTTTTGCGTTTAAAAACATGAGATGCTGTAGAATGGAAAAAGAAAAACCCCATAAAGTTTTTTAGTTTTTTAAAAGTTGAACTTCTTTTAAATTTAAATAGCTTTCTAAACATGCGGCTCTCTTGAGCGAGACGCAAGTGCAATTATCAAAGATGTCTGTCTAGCACGTTTACATAGAAAATAATTATACCAACCCTGCAGGGCAAGGGCCATACTGATGCCAAGTGCAACAAGTGCAAAAAAACAGGGTGCTCTGCTCACCAAACCTAGTTGAGAAAAACTATCATGCTTAGCAGTATAAGCATGAAGGTTTCGGAAGCGACAAACAAGCAACACTTAATACTCTCAAGAATATACGCTGGTGAACAGAATAAAGGTGGTTGGCAGTGACTACCATAGTTTGTAACAGCAACAACAAAAGCATAACACTGTGCAGAAAAAGCCAGAGCGAGAGGTGCCTAAACTGCTTTTTTTTGCTGGGCTACTAGCTTTTTTTTCACACAAACCATTAATTTCACCAAAAAAATGGAAGTTTTATCAGAAAACTAATCAGAAAGAAATCACTGGAAACTAGCGAGATCGCGAAACGAACATGATAAAAGCAACTGTTTGTTGCCATTTTTGTTGTTTACTTAAAGATTTATAACCCAAACAATCAATGTTTTACCACAGGTTTACAATAATAACAGAAACAGAGGAATCTCCCGAAAAATCGGACTTGCTTTATTTTATGACATGCAGAGCTATATGAATATCAGACAGTCCAGTATAAAGAGACGAGATGTACTGAGAGATGAAATAAATACACGATTGTGATAGATTTGTTGATTTCTTCAAGCGGTCGTATTTACCATGTTTACTCGTAATGTTTAGCGCACATAGTCTTTTGCATCGCATATAAATATTTCTGCCTTATACGGTGTCTTTAATGCTGGTGATAGCTGGTAGGCCAACATGAAATCACCCGGCGCTGCCAGACATGAAAATCTAGGACAGCCAAATTGGGATGCCAAATTGCCGGGATTGGTCAGGGGGGAGCAGTCAGCAGTTCTGCCATGTTCAAGAACCATGGCTGGTAGGCCACCTCGGCTACTCCCGACTCTTGTTCCTCCCTGATTTTGCTCACTAGGCCTACCATAATCTTTACTGATGGGAAGGCATACTTGCGGGTTTCTGGCTAGCGATGGGCAAGCACATCCACCCCTAGGGCCTGTGTCAGCGCACAGAACAGCAGGTAATGCGCATTCTCTGCTGATTTAAAGAGGTCCACCTCCGCAACATGACATCATGACTTTGCGTAAACATACACGCCACTTTCAATTCAAGTGGCGTGTTATCTATACGCATTTTGAGCTATCCGCGTGTATGTCCACGCCGAAATCTTTTGCGTGTATGTCTACGCCATTAAACGTCCGAGTGATTCCGCGTGTATGTGTACGCCGTTAAATGTCCGAGCGAAACCATCTCCATTCTCCGTGGACTACTCTGCCCTCGATAGCAAGTCTGAGCCCTGGTTTAATCGGCCGGGGACATGTACTGCCCGGACCGGCAAGAGGACGGAACCATAACAGGATCGAGGCTCTACCAACCTGTACAGTGGTCTGGACTGGACACCACCGTAGTGGTTTATGTATGATTTTTTAGATTTGTGCATGTATGTAGGCTGTATTGTCTGAGTTCAAAATGATCAAAAAAGAAGCTGATTCTCGAGTAGATTCGTCCGGAAGATTGATTTATTTCGGTGGACCTGAAAGATGCTTTTTTTCATATTCAGATAGCCCCGCAGCATTTTCATTCAATGGCGTGGCGTACCAGTTCACTGTCCTCCCCTTCGGTCTGTCTCTGGCCCCAAAAACATTCACAAAATGTGTTGATGCTGCTATGTCCTTGCTATAAGCAAAGGGAATGCGCATCCTGAATTATTTAGATGACTGGCTTGCCATGGTGCAGTCAGAGAATATGTTACAGGAACGTGAGCTGCTATCGTACGCGTTGTCCCTGGCTGACAGTGAATAAACAGAAAAGCGTGCTGATTCCCTGCAGGAACTTTACCAATAGGGTGCAAGCCACCATCCTTCGTCGGCGCTAAAAGGTAACAGCTGTAGAATGGCTGTAACGGCTCTTGCGCTCTGCCAGCAGGACCAGTCCTATTAGGGGCTTTATAGCAGACTAGAAATCTCTGACCTCAGCAGCTGAGCGCTCTCATAAATATGATTAAACCTGTAGAATTTTAAGCCCACTCAATTTCTATATATAGGCTTATTAGGCTAATATATATATATATATTTTAGCAAAATGTGCATTTGATTTAGAATTCAGAATTGATTCAGAATTTAGAATGATACAGAGTTCTCTCCTGCTGTTTGACGCGCATGCGCCCACTCGCGCTCGTTCATTGTAGTCTGCGAAGTTTGTTGTCAGAACATGCAAAACTGAAATATTCACGGGACTTTCTAACATTTACAAATAAAGATATAAGCATAAAATGTAAGTTATTTGCTGAGGAAAACACGTGCCAGAAGCAATAAACAGCACACGCATGATCTGTCAAAGGCCGACAGGGCATCAGTAAACGCTATGATTTAGTTTGAAGCGCTAATAAATATAAAGTCATGTTTCGGAGAACTTGGATCATATGTACCTAACCTTTCCAGCAGCAGCCCGAATCTGTGTCCTCCGCTATTTTCCATGCAATTTGTCCATAGAAATGGGTAATTCACTGTAAAGCGACTGCGGCTGGTGGTTTCCGAGCACTGCGCGCAGATCTAGTGACTCAATCTATTTGTAACTGGATTATTTTCAACAATGCGATAATAGTCGATTTTACCTATTAGTATTGGAGACAGTCATGTTCCTTTTAGATGTTTCTTTTTCAAAAGCATTGATTATTAATAATCCAGCGGTTTTATTTTTTCACGTCATATTTTGGCAATAACTAGCATATAGATCACCTGTTCGGGTTTTTTTTTTTTTTTTTTTGAGCTTCACATGCAGCAATTATTCCTTCGAAAACATTGCATTATTGATAATCTAGCAGTGTTATTTTTCTAGTCATATTTTCATTTCATATTTTTATTTGTCAAGACTAATTTTCGTAACAGTTTTTTTAATTCAAATGGGCTATTTTCATTATCGCAAAGCGGACACGCCACGCCCCGAGAACGTTTAATTTTTTGAGATCCCTAGCCTATTGCAGTAGGCCTATTTGCCTTTAGCATAAGAATTCCCCTTGAGTAACAAAAACGGGTTCAACTAGTTTCAAATGTGACTTGGCATTCTTGGTTTGTCCTCTTCTTATAACAAAGGCAGTGAAGACATCAAAGAAAGATTTGAGGAGCCACTCATCGTCTAAATCCACCTGCAGGCCAATCAAGACTGATTTCATGCAACGTGGTCAATCCAGGATCAAATATGATGAGTGGTGCTGTACACATAACTTGACCAGTATGCTGCTATCTTTATTGCGCTTGAAACCTCATCACCTGGACTGGATCCGGTTGCTAACTCAGGTAAACAATAAAGGCAGCAAGTGTACGTCTGTAGGTATACCTTAAGTATGAGTGGGTTTAACGTTGACACGGTTTATAGCCAGCAGTAAGGAAGCAGGAAGAAGTGGACATTGATTGCTCTGTGTGAGAAGCTTGTAAAAGTCTCGAACGCACAAGCATGTTTCATACTGTGTGTGGTATAAATGGAATGAGGTGCGATGGGTTGAACCCTTTTGAAAGCAAGCAAAACAAGGTATTTAAATCCATTTTTCTCCTCTACACACAATATTAAGGCCCTATAAAAGAAAATGCTGACTTCAGAAGAATACATTTTGCATAATATGCAATAACTAATTAAAAGTCAATGAAATAGACGTTTTTTTGATGATGACACCATTTGTATTAGTGATATCATTGCGATACTGTAACATAATATTTTTAATTAGTTTTTAGTTTGAGTAATTTTGTTGTGCTTTTCAAATTTGTATTAGTTTTTTAATGTCCATATAGTTATTTTTAAATTATTTTTTTATTTCAGTTTTAGTTTTTTTAATTATTTTAACTTTTAGTTAATAACCCTGGATAACACTGTAATTTAAGTTTGTGGATGTTTCATATCAAAAAGTTATGATCTTCATGTAATAGGCTACTTTTACCAAATTTGGACATTTTTACTAATCATGGCCCTGCAACATTAAAAACCATTATCTCTTTGCATTAATTTGTAGGTTTTTTTAGCTCTATCTTTTAAGGTGCTTCTACAGTCTTTTGCTTTATTCATCAACACAACTGCACATCTAAATGTAGTTTATTGATTCTGAGTACTTGTTAATGGATTTACCCTGTTCAATCAATCTTGCATTTAAGTCTTAAGGGCCCTGCATATCACAGCTGCTTCAGTTTTTGACACTTATTATTGTTTTTCTACATTCACTTTTAAAACCTTTTTGAGAGAAATAATGAACTGCTTAATGCTCTGTAATCATATTTTATAATGCATTTGTCTCTCTCTTTCTCTCTGTGTGTAAGGGTGGAAGTGTGTGTGTGTTATGGATCTTCTATTTTCAGGGTTTGAGTTGGTCTTCATCGTCATTGCTTTTACTGTCATGTGCTTATTTGGCCTGGCTGCAGTCTACACACATAATACAGACCATCAAGGTAAACATGTATCCACTCACCCAAACACACAAACATTTACTAAATGAAAATGTCACCTAAAGTCTATACGTGTGTCCCATAGATGACTACACTCAGACAGGACAGAGGATAACACAACAAAAGAACAACTCAAATAAAAAAAGAGTTGTAACCAAAGCCAATCAAGAGATACCATGAACACATTTCATAGACATACAGAATCTCTCTGTTGGTGCTCATTGGATAAAAGGCCTGGCTCACCAAATGCAGTTAATCGGCTGACAAACTGTGTTTGAAGAACTCTGAGACTGAAAATAGACTTCAGTTCACCCTCAAGACACATGCGATTTCTCTCAGCTGTTTCTGATTGGCTTTAATGTATTACCCCAGTAAGTAACCAGTAAAGAAAGGTAAAGAGGATTTATTGAAATCAAAACCCCACCCGTTTCCCCACCTAAATCTGCTTAACATTTGTAATTCTTTTCTGGTGGAGCCTTAATTTTTTTTTTTTTTTTTTATACACATTATGCATTTTGGGCAAACTGCATCTAAAATTTCTGGGTGGAGGTAGCTTATGGCTGTTAACATAGGAAAATATATTGCTGAATGTATTTTGTGAAAAAATATATATTATATTATATATTTTTATTTAATGCCTTTTTAGTTATTTATTTATTTTTCCACAAATTTTATATATTTCAAAATAAAAATGAGAATTATTGTCTCATACACATGTTGGGTTTCCATGTTGTTTTATGGGGACTTTCCATAGACATAATGATTTCTTTATACTGTACAAACTGTATGTTGTATCAAACCCTAAACCTACCCCTAAACACAACCTCACAGAAAACTTCTGCATTTTTATATTAAAAAAAAATAAAAATCATCATTTAGTTTTATTTATAAGCTGTTTCCCTCATGGGCCCAAAAATGTCCAGTGTTTTGGACAGTTTTATTGCTCCCTGTAGAACATTTTATAATGTGTTTTAAAATATATTTGAACCATACAGTGTAAATATAAGTAGGAAATTGTATGTAATCAACCATGCGGTTTGCAACTTATATCCATGTTTCAAATATATTTTGGCCAGTAATAAAATAACATTTTCAGTATGAAAGAGTTGTGCTGAAAATTTCTACAAAATTGTTGGTTCAGGTAATATGAGCCATTACTGTGCCCTTAAGCAAGGCAGTTAACACCACTGTGCTGCAGGACAACTACCCCTGTAATTAGTCTTGTAAGTCACTTTGGATATAAAGATCTGCTAACTAACTGCTAACTCTGGATTATGACCATTGAAGGATCTTGAAAATGACAGTGCATTAGATGCACTCAGTATGTTCCTATATGCCCTTAATCTTAAAATGTTTACATGACATTAAAATCCACTCATCTAGATTACATTGTCTCAAATTATAGGCCTATATGGAAAGTGAGGTTGCATGGTGTCCAGTTTCATGACCATGTGCTGCTCTTGTTACAATTTCAAGTGTAACACTTAGAAAGGAAATACAGTTCACAATATATCATTCTGATATTTAAATCCTACTGTGTTGAGTTCCATACAGTTTCATTAACCTTTACTGATAAAACTGACATGCTGCATAAAATCAAAACTTTCATTGTCATTTCGGTTGTGAAATGAAAACAGAATACGGGGCGCCCTCTACTGGTAAAAAAAAAATTAGTTAGACATTTTTTTAAATTCTCTGTACATTGACTATTTACATGAATATGCCAACCACTGATTCTCAAGCATTTCTTACAAATTCTTTGTATTCTTACTTTTCCTTAACAGTGGTATTCTTTCATGCAACAACATACGGACATTCTCTAAGATTCAAAATGTGAAGAGGGCCTACAACCTACTTGCCAAAAGAGGCATTTTCTCTTCTTTGGTCTACAGCTTTTTAAAATGTTTGTATTTTTTAAAAAGGGAACTGTATATAGTCTATATTCTATATTATTTCATAATATAGCTGTATTTGTATATATATGTATATACACACACACACACACACACATACATATATATATATATATATATATATGAGTAGCCTACATGGGTATGATGGAGGAAGGGAGTATGTTGGGGGAGTAGTTTGGGTATGCGCTTCCTGGCAGTAACTACTTGGAGTTGTAAACTTCAGAAGGGGGTATTGTCTCTCGGTGTGTGTGCGTGTGTGTGTTGTAAAGGGAGGGTAGTAATCTAGTTTTGGAGGAAGAAAGGTTATGGGGAATGCCACTCTTATCTGCTATTGCAACAGTCAACAAAGCCCCACACTGATAACACTTCCTGTTACACTGAACCAATATTATACAAACGCACTTGGCACAAACAATCACACTCTCACTTTGAACTCAGCGCTGGGCCAAAAACAAAAACCTAATTTCTGTTCAGTTAAAGAATCTTAACTACTTTTCAAATATCCTGATTATAATCTAATAATCGAATACATTTATAAATAGAATTAGACACATTGACACGATAACTTTCTCTGAAAAAAAAAATTTAAATGATGTACCACAAGTACCACATTTTATTAGTTCAAATAGGCCTGCTTTCATGCAATTTTATTCATTCATCATTTTCTGAAGTACCCGAACACCTTTTTCTTTTTTTACAGTGTTGTTCAGGGGCGCGCATCAGTATTTTCATCAGAATTTTAAAAGACACAAAAGTTTCTCACTGCCCTTCCAGACTTTTTTATGTGTGTCTATCTGCTGATTGACACATCATGTGCTCTTGCTCCTGAAAGATGGACTCGACCTCTGCCTGCTGGGACAGGGGTGTTTTTAAGGTCAGTGTGTGTGTGTGTGTGTGTGTGTGTGTGTGTGTGTGTGTGTGTGTGTGTGTGTGTGTGTGTGAAAATATCAAGCAGCACGTTCCATATGAAAATTCTTCCTCTCTACCTTTTGCTACTTGTTGCTTTGTCTGTGATGTATAGAAAATTTAAACAGTTGCACTATTTTTTTTTTTTTTAAAACACTAATTTTTTAAATTACACTTTAAGGAATCTAAATTTCTTCCTCAGGATTGTGTGTGTCGGTAGAGCGGGTGGAGTCAGTAACACACGTCTCTAAGCAGAGGGATTATTTGAGGAGGCAAGTTAATCCAAGTAATGACATCTAATCCCCAATAAAGCAAACGTTACGACACACACACACACACACAGTCACAGACATACACCCACCCAGACCATGCTGCGTCTGTGATTTCATTACGAGTCAATGAGCAAACTGACCCCAACATCTTCGCCAAGCCTGTGTTTTCATGCATGCGCTCTAGTCTATAGGTATCAGTCTCCATGGATGCCAGGTGGCTCCGAATAAGAATGCTACTTCATTAGCATATTTAAACTGAGGGAATAAGTGGCAGGGGGCAATGTGAATCACCAGGGAGAATTAAAAGACATACACACTGAATGCATGGCACTGGTGAGGAACATTTTTTGCAAACGCTATAAAGCAATAAATAAGGGTATGCACACACATCAATAGACATGCACACATACTCACATGGGGTCAGATAAAGCTGGTCTTTGGACTGAAGTACCGGGCTGTCCACCTCGTCCATTAGTTACATGCTGGGTTCTAATCCTAATTGACATGAAAAAAAAAGCTCAGAGGATGTGTAGTCACACACACACACAGTTGGCACAAATGGATTTTTAATAAGGATGGGCAGCATCCATGACAGCTGCACTATATCAGACCAACCTAAAAAGCACACTAAAACTCCATGACAGGCCTAGTATATCAAAGAAGAATTGAGATAAATGGTCACACTCATGAGAAAGGTCAAAGAGTGGACACACATATGGCTCACACACTCGGTTTGCACACATATGCACTTCATTATGGACTCAAACACACACTTACACTCCAAGAGGTCAACTAAGGCACACTCACACACTTATTATCTCTAAATCTCTCTACACACTTTGTTAGGTGACTTTTTAGTATTATTTATTCACTATTAGTTTTTATTCATACTTTGAAACAGCTTTATTTTAAATTGTATTTACATTTTTTTTGGTAATTTTGTGATTTTTTTTCACACACAAATACACTGTTTGGATTTAAATAGTCAAATGCTTAGGAGTCTTGGATCATTATTGCAGCAATGATTATGTTTCAAGCAATGTTATATGTTAGGCAACAGTTCTAACAGTAAATTGATGTGTGTAGCTTTTCATTTCTTAAACAGCCATGTAGGAAGACACATCATGGCCATATTCCAGGATGACAATGTTCAAGATTCATCAGGCTCAAATTGTGAAAGAATGGTTGTGAGGGAGCTAAAGAATCATTTTCACACATGAATTGGCACCTCTGAGTCCACACCTTAAATTCATTGAAAGTATTTGGGATGTGCTGAAGGAGACTTTACAGAGTGCTTGACTCTTGCATTGTCAAAATATCTTGACCAAAAATTGATGCACCTCTTGATGGAAATAACATCACAACATTTATTCCCAAATACATTTATTTCCATCAAGAGGTGCATACATGTTTGGTCAAGATCTTCTAATGACAATGCAAATGTCAAGCACACTGTAAAATCTACTCCAGCACATTGCATCAGTTACTTTGCAAAGGCAACATTTCTCATTTTCTTTAAGTTTTTCATCGACTATTTATATTTTATTTCAGCTTCATGTCAATTAGCCAAACCCTGCTTAAATCACGTAAATACTCCCACAAACGATCTGATATTTACTGTCATTTGTTTGCTTAATGGAGCTGCTATGTTATTTGCATATTGTACTAGTTTTACGCATTGTCTTGCACAGCCAAGCCATTCACGACTCCGGCTCATTATAACGCACATGCGCACAGAGACACATGGGGTATCTGTAAATCTAATAACATTACCATACTGGATCCATAACACACTAGGGTATCTGTCCAGTTTAGTATCATGACTGAACAATAACATGCACACAAAGAAAAGCCATTCTGAGCTAAAACTCACTCTTTCTGTCCATTAGAAAGTGACTCTTCCATTATTCAGTCTGTTTTAGGGTAAATAGTATTTGCAACTTTGTCTCCAACAAAAAATTTCCACATTTGTACTTGAGCTCAAGGGAGCATATATACATCATTCAATGCGATGTTTACATGCAAATGACACAGGGGTGTTCCTGAATTAACACTGGCTCCATTTAAATCCTAGCTTAACCCCTAATGTAAACTATATTTATCTTTTGTGTGATGAATTCTAATTATAATGCTCTGCCATTATGAGTTGTCTTTTCGCTCTATTCCTTGGTTATTTCCATGGTGATTTACTAGCATTTTATGCCTGCAAAAGTCAAGCCGATGAGTATTAGACCATGTAAATCTATACTTTTGATGAAGAAGGTGAACATTATCTTTAACAGACTTTGGCCAGTGTGTAAGTGTGTGTCAGGCTGGCTCTCCTGTTGTGAGGTTTTGTTCTAGGTAGTGAAGTACAATAGTAGCTCATTAGTAAAGAGAGAGCTCATAGATCCAACAGCTACACTATAATCAGCACTTCACAGCTCGTTCACACACACACACACACACACACACACACACACACACACACACACACACACACACACACACACACACACACACACACACACACACACACACACACACACACACACACACACACACACACACACACATGTTGTGTTTTCATGTTTTATGGGGACTTTCCACAGACATAATGATTTTTATACTGTACAAACTGTATATTCTATTCCCTTACACTGCCCCTATCCCTAAACCTACCCATCACAGGAAACATTCTGCATTTTTACATTTTCAAACAACATCACTTAGTATGATTTATAAGCTGATTTCCTCATGGGGACCAAAAAATGTCCCCACACGAACAAGGATTTCGGATATTGCCATCCTTGTGGGGACATTTTGTCCCCATAACGTAGGGTTTACCAGGCCACACACACACACACAAACTTAACTGACCAGGCCAGCCAATAATTCACACACCTCTTTGACCAGTGCTAATCTCTAACCAAAAACAGACACACTCAACTGCACATTTATTATCACCATTATGTAAATATATATTTTAATCCATAATACACAATGGGTTCCAAAAGCCTAACATCACAATGAAAATCTGTCTGCAGTTAAAGCTGAAAATAGTCTAAATATACTGCTGTGCATTTATTTTTGGATGTTTTTGATGGCATAATATTTGTAAATTTGATGTAAAAAAATAGCTTTATTTTCTATACTTGTCTGAATTCTAATATTTGTTTAAATGTTTAAACAATGCTTAAATAATTATTAAAAAATAAATATTATAAAAATAATTCAAATCTATCTATCAAATATCTATCTAAATTACTGTTAAATTTTTAAGTACAATCAACTTGGCTATTTAAGTTATTTCAACTTAAATTACATTAAAATTACTTCAAAAATGAGTTGAATCTTGTATAACTTACAAAAAGAATTGATTAACTTATTTTAAAGAGTTAAAGTATGCTGTTTTAACTTATTGGTCATATATTTTCTTACAGTCTATATCTATATCTATCTATCTATCTATCTGCAAAGTCCATGTCCCCACCCAGTTTTAGGTCTTCACCCCTCCTTCTGTTGTAACCCCCCCCCTCTCTTGTCTGTATAAAGAGGGGGTGAAGCTACATTGTCTCGACTGGACATTCCCACTCATCAGGTCATCTAGCTAGCCTATACATCCATATGAGGAGAGAGAAGAAAGTGAATATCGCTATCTGAAACTTTAGAAAAGTTGGAGAGCGTGAAAACTGACTGCAGCTCCGCATCCACTTTAATACTGAATCTTATATGAGCTCCGAGAAAAAAATACTGAGACCGAAAGACATTTGTACACGATTTCTACAGTCCGTTATCGGCATATTCACAGAATTTGCCCTCGAAGGTACCGGACACATCTGAGGACACTCGGGTCTGCGCAAACCTCACACAGCATCATCATGAGATTCTTCCATCCTCTGTATCTCCTTCTGCTGCTGCTGCTGACAGTTCTGTTCATCACCAACGCCGAGAAACAAGGTATCACAAGACCTGGTTTTTGGGGTAAAGAATATATTAATTCAGCTAATTAAAATATTTTAATATCGACAAAAATGATGTTATGCAAAAACTCAAGTCTGTTGTGTGGTGTAGCACTGGATCAAAACACTTGCAAATTAAGAAAAAAAAGTAACAAGTGTAAGGATTTCTTTTAAGTGCTTTTGCTGGCTGATGTAGCCTACCTGCAATTTTAAGTTTCTAACTTATTTATACGATTTTAGCTCAAAATATCAAGTAAACTTTATTTAATTAGATCCCTATAATTACAGAAAATCATAGAATTGAATCACACGTGATTCTGTTGAATCGGTTTGATGCACTACTAAATTGGAATGAGGTTTTCCGCGCTCTAAACCAAGCGCTAATAACTTATTCCCACTGAATGAATTTGAATCACCGCACCCGACTGAAGCCACAGCAAAAATGATACCTCAAACAATTTACCCGAGCTGTGAGCTTGTGGTCTAAATTAGCCAGTTTTATAGTGAAATAGTGGCAACATTTTTTTTTAATTGCAGACATCACGCAAAAAATAATAATGTTTGTGATCCACAGATTCACACGCAAATGATTCTTATGAACAGGTTCTTTTAATGGTTTGAATCAGTCTGACGAACTGCTCCCCCTCAGAGCGGTTACTGAATCAACATCTGATTTAGGCTACTTCGGCCTATTAAACTGAGTTATCGTCTCGATATAAAGTTTTGTGTACTGAAGGTTTGTAAAACAAATAGGCCAATCGTTAGTGACTTGTTGTTCACGGGGAGTAGTTAAAGACAAATTACCTACTTTTTAAAATAAATTTTAATCTAAATATGCATTATGCTGTAACTGTAACATTTTGAATAGGCCTTATCGGGTACCTGAAAGTTTGTAGTAAACCTCACAAACTGTTTACCCATTCACTTATCCAATACCGTGAGTCACTATGGATAAACGTCACCTCATTAGTAAACCAAGATATTGTTGGCCTATGTCCTGGTTAGTGGTCTGTGCGCAGTCATGGCTGATTTAGGGTCACTGCTTTAAGTGGATTTTAAGTGGCGCTTGACGCTTCTGAAAGGTTCAGTCTTAACTCCAGAAATGAGCTTGGGTTTCACTAAGCCCACACTTGACCCTTGACTTGAAAATAAATGTTTTTTTTTTGTTGTTGACAATTCTACACTAAATAGGACTATATGAATACATTTTACACGTGTATATAGGTTGTGAATAAATCGCAATTACGCGCGAGACCAATTTATTTTCCTACTATTTTGGTAGTTTTGCTTTTATCTAAACGCTGAGGCATAGCCCTATTCCTATAACTAAATGTAGGCTAATTTAGCCTACGTGTATAGTAGCTACACTCTAATCTCCCGCTGCTGTGGCGGCTATGCGCAATTAATCTGGTGCCCGTGGGCGATCAAGCACCAGCGTTCATTGTTAGTCATGATGTTGAGCACAATAGGTATAATGCATTAGCATAGGGTGACTGCGGTGAAAGAGAGAAAGAGAGGGAGGTACATGGAGTTCGCATAGCTTTAGTCAAAGGCAGATATAAAAGCGCCCGGTTCTCCTCCCGTGCGCACCGTGCCATTGTCCTTGCGCCTCTGGGAGAGAATCTAATAGCTGCTTATGGAGGGAAGTGACATGAGCGTTATCACAAGACCTCTGATTGTTATATTGCCTTCCAGATTGTTTGTTACCAACTGGGGAGACCATTCATTTAGATTTTATTTCAGGTAACACCCCAATCTGGGGAGAGTGGGGTGGGGTGGGGAGGTGGGGGGTGGGGAGTAGCCTACATCTCCCCAACCCCCCCAAAATATCAAATTATCAATATTACAACCAATATGGAAAAGAAAACTGTTGATCTCTCTTAGACTGATCTTCACAGTAGATCGTAGATTCACACAGAATTAAATTCAACAACAACAAAAAAAATCTACATTGAACCCAGCCAACAAAAAATGTTCTAAGAACATTTTTATTACGTTCCCGTTAAGTTATGAAAACTTTATTTCTTAATGTTCAAAACGTATTTTTTTAAAATATTATTTTTGTTTTGTTTTTTGTTATGTGAACATTAAGAGAACATTCCATTTTGCAAACATTATTTGTTACTTTTAAATGTTACTTTTACTGTTACTTTTAAATGTTTTCTCAACATTCTGAAACAATTAGGTAGGCCTAGGAGCATTAAAAAATGTTAGACGAACATCCAACCAATGTTTCAGAAAAAATGGTTCATGAATGATAGATGTTTTTGTGCAAACGTTTTGGGAACGTTATTAAAGGCCAGATACCTTTGAACGAATAAGGCTGCTTTGAAACAATCTGTATTGTATATAGCCCTATATAAATAAATGTGACTTGACTTGATATACAGTAACTTAAGGTTAATAGTTCATAGTCCTGACAAATGTTTTATTTTCCCCCCTTTCCAGATTTTCTCAACCTGAGGCGGAAATATCGCAGACACCACTGTCCAAAGAAGCGTTGTCTACCTCTTCACTCCAGAGTACCATTCCCTTAAGGTGAGACTTTAGTTCACATGCAGGCTACTTATTCCCTTTTATTACTCTGAGGAATGGGCAAATATTGAAAAAGAGTTATCAAAGGGGAGCATCATTAGCAAATCTAAATTCTGACATTCCTAGCATGTATTTGCTGACAAATAATCGTGAAATACCTCGAATTTACTTTTGTGTCTCCTTGACAACACAAACTGATTCTTGACTAACAAGTGCGTGCACTTCATTTGAGAATGGTGTTTACCACTCCATTGTGATCTGTGGGTTTGTGTTCTGGACAAAAGACGGCCAGATTAATTAACAATCCGCCTGTCGGATATCTAGCGGGCCCTAAGCCTCAACAGAAACAGACGGAGGTACTTTGGGTTAAATACCCTGTACTAAATGAGCTGGGACATTATTGGATCTTTATAGCTGTGTGACTTTCTCTTGGACCGGGAGTAAACACAAACACTCCACACCCACCCACACATACACACACACACACACAAAAGAGTGGAAACCTACATAGCCACACAGAGACACACAGACAGACGAGAAAAGCCCTACCCCCATAAATTCAACCCATTTTAACTATCTGCCACACACACTGTAAAACTTGGGTGGGACGCCTAGTAATGCCAGTCCTCAGAAACACCTGGTGGCCTTTTCAGTGAAGGGAGTACAGTTATGTAATGGTTGAGCAATAGAATTTAATAGACAGAATAATAAAAAAAATGTAATATAGCTATATAAAAAAAACAGGCTTAAACTGTTTTTGTGATCATCATTTGTTTGATCATTAATTAATTCAATATTTTTTTCAATGTTTTGAATTTTAGATTGTTTGTTGGTTGTTGTATTTCTTGGGTTTTTAGTGAAAGCATAAGCAAGGACAAAAGTGCAATTAGTGCAAATTATATATCAGTTAGAAGCATATACAGAACATCTGAGGCTCAGTACTGTGAAGTTATTCTGTATTCTCCCTGTTAAATAAAACGTCTGATAAAATAAAAAATAAAATAAATAAAATAAAACAAAAGTAGTCAGACTTAAGAGAAAATACTAAACGAGGATTATCAAATATCAAATACCATACCAAGGGGGTCATAAGGTGATACAGGGGTGAATGAAGTTTGTGTGTGAGGTCATGGAGAGAAAATGTCTTCTCAAAGACAGTAATTTCCGAAATCCTTGTCGGGAAATTTTTTGGTCCCCATGAGGAAAACAGCTAAAAAAATCATAGGCCTATATATACATTTTCTGTGATGGGTAGGCTTAGGGTTAGGGGACAGAATATACAGTTTGTACAGTATAAAAATCATTATGTCTATGGAAAGTCCCCATAAAACATGGAAACCCAACATGTGTGTGAGTTTTTTGGCTGCTAAAGGCCTTTTTGTTACTTAAAGAGCAACTTAGAGTCGGTTCTTTCATAAAAATTCACCTGACCCCTCAAAATTATTTAGAATTTTAAATAAACCAATTATTTATAACTCTTTCTAATACTTGTAACAAAATATCTTGATATCACATTGAACACTTTACCTTTCACCATCATAAAATATTTAAAATAACTTCATAAAAAAACTTAAAATAATACACTTTTTAAAATGACTTTTTACACCACACAGGTCATTCAATTTAAACTTTTGTTGAACATGGCATATACGTTTTCCAAAACCATTTGTAACCAACATAAATAAATAGAGAACATAGGAACTTGAAGTGTGTTTTAAAGTACATTTTTATCTAGTAAATTATATCGTATCAATGTATTGTATTATAATATGAATTACATTGTATATATATTAGTTTTCTTTATCTTGACACGACCATTGAACCATGAGCACATGTTGTTAATGGTGATATGTGTGACACTGTATCTGAGGGGACACACATTCACTGTGACAGCCTACCGGAGCCGCCTACTGTTTTCAGACACTCTGGAGAGGTTGTCACCTTTAACCTTTACTCTGTGACCCCCACACAATGAGCCAGAGCTAGTCTGGAGTTAACAAAACACACAAACAGACACACACACACACACACACACATATATATATAGAATCAATGTCTAAAAGAAAAGCTGCTCAAAGATCACATAAATATCCATTCCATAGCCGTGCATTGTGGATTTAAACTTTTTGTTTTGTTCTCCATCAGGTTTTACAACTCTAGAGGAACCTCTACGCAGCTATCCTTATGATGCTTCTTCAAGCATTAGGAAACCCAAAGACCAGCAATGGATGGAAAAAGTTTCATATCAGACTCCCTGAGGGCTGTTCATTCGCCCATATATTGTAACCAAGCCATGTTAGTCACATCTGTATAGAGGGGGTGTATTGTTTTATGAAAGTTAATGAACAAGTTATGGGGAGATCCACTGCAACAGGACACGCTAAAACTCATCGCTCAATCAGTTTGAGTTTGCCAGAACCATTGTAAATAGTAAGGACTGGATGAAATGTTTATATGTAAGTTATGCACTTCAAATGTTTTATTATTATCCTGATTAAATAAAAAGTGTATTGTCTTTTCACCTGGGCTCAACGTGTCTTATAATCCATACGGCTTGTCAAAGTCTTTCAAATTCACAAGCTGCTACTGTATGAAAAGAGGAAAAAGAGTGTCTTATACTGGGATCACTAGACTGTATTGTTCCATTTTTGATTGACAGCTTCCAAAATGAAAAGCCCCCAATCAGAAAAGTTAACATTCCCAATCCAAGATTGAGATTTATTTTAGTCTCTTTTAACATGGATCCACAGACGATTTCCAAAAAAACAGATTTTCATGTTCAGTGACAATTTGTTGAACACTTTTATCCCAAGTTTCATGTCCCTCATGACTGTATGTCAAGGTCATTAAGCCTTTTAAAGGGATACTCCACCCAAAAATGAAAATTCTGTCATCATTTACTCACCCTCAAGTTGTTGCAAACCTGTATGAGTTTCTTTCTTCTGCTGAACACAAAGGAAGATATTTTGAAGAACGATTGGAACTTTGGCACCATTGACTTCCATAGTATATAGTCAATGGTGCCAAACAACTGTTTGGTTCCAATCGTTCTTCAAAATATCTTTTCATTTTCATTTTTGGGTGGAGTATCCCTTTAAATTATAAGATAAGTTTACCTTTTCTTTAAACCATAAAATGTCATGTGGTGCAACCCATTCATAATTAGAGTAAGGATTTTAATTTTGTACTAATACTTGTAACAAAATATCTGGATATTACATTGAAAAGTTTACCTTTAACCATCATAAAATGTCTAAAAAAAATCAATATAATTATTAAGATGTGTACACTTACCTATGCTCACAGTGTAAAGAAAATTAATTTTTTATTAGGTCACACCACATCTCATTAAATGTAAACGTTTATTAAACATGGCACAAAAAAACTCCAAATCCATTTGCAACCAACAAAAATATAAAGAGTGCATTTCTAAGACCTTGATGTGTGTTCTAAACTACATCTAGTATTATCTTATCCCTTTCTTTATCTAGACATGCACATCACCTACCGGACTCAATCAAATTTGTTCATTTTTATTCCCAAAAAGTTTCAATACATTTTATCCACATTATTTTACATAAAAATACAGTAGTTCACACCATCTGTGAGATTAAGCAACAGGACTAAAAAGGTCAGTATTTAACAACGTTTTCTGAATGGCTCCTACACCAGAAACATCCTTCCAACACAATTATTACACACAAAATCAGCACAGACCCACAAAGCAAAAAATACAAATTATGAACAAAATAAGTCAAATTAAGCCCACAATTAACTCTACCGCTGTACCCTCTTGTTCATGCTCTCACATACAGTACATGCACACAGAGAAACGGAAGTCGCACGATAAAGCTTTTGGTTTGATAAGATCACGCTATCCCAAAAACTCATAATGAGCATCTTCATTGAACATTTCTGCAGCAGAGGGCTTTTGACTTCCCAATTGCGGCCATTGTCTACTCAGACTTGTCGTCATGGAAACCCGAGAGCGTCGTTAGAGAGGTTACCAAGGATCGTTTCCCACAAAAAGTCTTCTGATCAGTGAGCCATGGCTGCCGATGCCAGTCAAGATAGACGCGCTCACACACACACACTCGCACGCAACGCTTCAGACCCCATCACAAGCACAAGCAGTCCTGAGTCACTCTCTCTGTTTGCACGTGTCAGGCTCTGATCTACTGGCCGGTCAGCGTGAGGATCCTCCTGCTCAGAACGCTGTTGTGCTGTTTCAGATAATCAATCAGGTCCGCCTGCTTTTCCACTACATCCTCCAGACTGGAGCCGTCTCTGTGAAATAAACCACAGAACACATGTGCACCTGTTTGACCTGTCCACAGCACATGGGCTTGAAATGTGAGTGTGTGTGTGTTTGTGTGCGTCTATGAAAACACTAGTCACACACAAAAAAAACAGTAGATTTAGGGATGCCCCAATATGGTCTGTTTTGGCCGATACAGATAACTATATACTGTTCAGTATGAGAGATCAATCTGCATTTGGTGAGATGCCAAACGTCTACTGTGGAAAACTGCTCTCATTTTAAAACATTTTAAGAACAAATCAGGGTTTCTGCAGGTTTTACACTTTTGAAAGACCTTTTGAAGACCAAGTCAATCAAATTTAAGGAGTGTATTGAAGGGAACACAGTGAGTAAAATACTGTATATTCTCGAAATGTAAATATCTAGGGAGAAACACAGTGAGTTCTATTATACAACAGATATTCATTACTTTTTAGTTCATCTTACAAAAAAAGTAGCTTGAATTGCTCTGCTCTCAAACACTAGAACGTGGAAATATCTTTTATTGTACCTTCTGCTCACACTGCAAAAAAGTGTATTTTCCTGTATTTTTGTCTGGTTTTCCAGTGCAATTGTCAAAAGATTCTTAAAGGCAGGGTAGGAGATTTGTTCCAGATTTTTTTTTGCTATGCTGGTTAAAAGTCTCTTCACATCCTGATAGCAATCACTAAGGAATGTGTTCTAAATGTATTTATATGTAAATATCACATCGTAGGACCATAAAATCTTCATCGGTCCGAATGTAATGAGATGATGTCCTGTCTGCCTGTCAGCATATGCATTTTCATTCCTCCGCGCATCCTGTCTCTCGTGACGCTTTTGTTTGTTCCCTGCTGTATGCGTTCATGTGTTTTGAAGGAGGCGTGGCTTTGGAGACATTTTGAAGGGAGGGTGGGATCTTATGCTTTCAAAGCTAGCTCGCTATAGCTAGCCTATCTGAAAATTGCCTGTCCTACCTTTAAATAATGATGCATTTACTGGATATGCAAAATGACATTAAATATGAAGTCTAAAATTAATCAAAATTAAGTTTATTCTTAAAACAACAACAAATATCTGCCTATAGGCTTTTTTTTAGAGTCAAATAAACCTAAAAGTCTACAAAGTTTTGGTCTATTTAATGTGCCCTTGCCAAAAAATAAAAATAAAAATAATAATTATATATATATATATACACGCACATCTTACTGATCCCAAATTATTAATTTTATAATAAACAAATTATATGAATAGCTATCAGTGTTACTGAAGTTTTACTTACCAGACCGATATAATTAAAAAGTTACATTTATAAAACGATATTCTTTAAAAAATATTATTTGATCATTTACCATGTACAATTTTTATGTGTACTACTGGTCGACCAATATGGCTTTTTCTATGCCCAATATGGAGTTGCAAATGATAAATTATTTACTTGTTTACTCAATATTTACTCAAAATAAAAATAAAATTTAATGGACAAAAACTCACATTATCTACTTAGAAAGGCAGTTGGTTTATTTAAACGAATACTTCTGCTAAACAGCTTCTTAAAATGGTCCAATATAAGCTGATTAATATGTCTATTCAATATATATATTGGTCTATCACCAATGTGTGTTACCTGAAGCCTGTCTCGGTATGCGCTTCGCTGGAGAAGCCATGAGATCGCTCCTGTTCAGTCACATCAGGATGGGGCTTCTTGCTATTAAATTTCCTCACATGTTCTGAAACACACAAAATACAAAGAGATAAATGTACAAAAAAAATAACACAGGTAAGGTTTTCTCCACCCCCCTCTCATTCTTCTTTCCTTCCAATAACACTAAATATACAGCAGGGTCCAAACGTCTAAGACCACAATGGCTACTCCTTTAACATGATAAACAGGGAGAGTATTTACCATTACCAAAATGAGACGAGTAAAATTGAGCCAGACAGAAATGTTGATAGCTGTAGTGTGCGTCTGACGGCGCAATGTGAGCTAGGTGTGTGAAGACACACGTACAGTGTGTGTGAGCAGGAGTCACGTTCAGCACGGATACTCTTCACCACAAGGTGTGCCAGTAGACGCGTGGCTAGTGTGTGTTTTGAGAGCGTGAGAACACAGGGCAACTGTGGGATTTCACACGTCACTTCCCTCCTCTCTCACACCTTTAATGTATCTCTCAATCAGCAAACTTTCACTTCCTACACTGGGAAGAACAGCGAGTTCAAGCAGATTCGATCAGAATACGGACCAAATATTCTAGACTTCACAATATGTGAATGATGACAAAAGAGGGCAGACTGGGACAGAGAGAGAAAAAAAATTGTACAGCGACTCAGCGAGTAAATCTAAAATATATTGACAATTATTTGGAAAGCTGGAAACTACATAACCATTAAAACGTTTGGGTTTTTAAATATATTTTTAAATGAAATTGATACTTTTATAAGCATTCATTGTTATAAATTGATCAAAAGATGAGACTATTGAAACAGATTTTTTTTTTTTGTCTGACAATGTCTATTTCAAATAAGTACTATTATTTTAAACTTTCAATACATTAAAGAATTCTGGGGGAAAATATCATGCTTTACCCAACAATATTATGCAGAAGAAGAAGAAAGAGTAGAAGAAATGTTTTTGAGCACCAAATCAGCATATTAGAATGATTTCTGACACTGAAAGACTGGAGTAATGGCAAAATTTATATTTTCCATCACATTAATTAATAAATTACATTTTAAAATATATTAAAATAGAAAACAGTTCAATTGTAATAATATTTTACAACATTACCGTTTTTACTGTATTGTTTTTATTAAATACGGCCTTGGTGAGCTGGAATAGACTTCTTTCAACATTTTTAAAAATGTCACTGACCCAAACATTTGAACGGTAGTGTAACTGTATTATTTGCAGTGATGTACAACATGATAAAGGTTTGTTTCCGGGTGGAATTGTTCAGCTGTCTTGGCCATGTTGCGGACATCCCCGGACAACCATTTTCTACCTAAGCACTAACTTTTCAGGCACATACCAATGCCAGTTCGCCCCTGGTCAGTCAAAGCGGGTACTATGATAATACCACTTGCGGTTTTACAAAATGCACAGAAGACTTTCAAGTTTGCTAGCGATCTGCAGAAGATGCCTTATATCTTGAGTGACAGACAGAGCAATGTTTGAGATGTTAATGATACTTTGTGATATTTGTCTCTGCATTTTAATATTGAAATAATAACATACTTATCCT